AAAACTTTAATGCGATCACGTATGAATGTAGCGCGTAGATGACCAACTCGCCAGCTGAAGAAAAAAAACATGGTAGAACCGATGTAGTGGAATAGTGATCCTGGAGTTAAAGGTACACTCTGTTTCATGCAGCCAGAAATCCACGTGGCACACGTGGCTAAATTCTCGATGAAAAGGTGACATCACGTGTGCTCAAAGATGTTCTTGAATCGATGCCACGTTAATGCCACGTCAATTTCTGCAATTGCACAATTTCTGGTCATTTGAAGGCGAGGGTACATGGCACGAAATAGCGGCCTACATAGTATGTAAGCGAAAAGTAGAGGTGTTGAAAGGTGCAGGGTGAAGAAAAAACCAAGGAGTGCGGGCCTTCCCGTTGAAACGGCTAGAGCCCGAAGGCGAGGGACGGGTGGTGGGCAGAAGGAGTAAAAGGGCTTGCTGTGCCCCTGCAGGCGCACACTCCCTTCCAGGGTGAATAACGGTCGAGGAATTCCTCGACCATGGCTCTCTACTGTGCGAGAGTAGTGTCGAGAGTGAATGTATGCGCGGAGAGCACAGACGGCTCGCGGGTGGCGAGAGTGAGCATCCGCGTGCGTGAAAGAAATCCTCGACGAGCCGTTGTCTTTTCCTCAAGCGATTTTCACCCTGCTCCCTTCTCAGAAGCGCTATCTTGGAATTTCTTAGAGGTACAGAATTTCTTTGTAGTGAGCATATTTGCCCTTCTTGGCACACAGTAAATCGTGCTACCTGCGCCTTTGAGCTGAAGCGTGTAAAGATGTCTCAGATTATGTAAATGGTACGCTCCAACTTGGAGTACACTGACACGGTTCAAGGGGATGTAAGTAACTAATGTATCATAAGGGGAGTGCGGTGTGCATTTCAAGTGGCAGACCGAATATTAAAGGCATTTAGCAGAGAATAAAAAAGCAAAAAATATTCGGCATTCTTACAAGCACGAAATTAACGGTATGTGAAGTTTCGGGAATGATCCTTCTAAGCATACGCATCCTCTCCGCAGAACGTTTATCCGTAACTAAAAGTCAGCACGACGGAGTAGGAGAAACGTACACGGCGAAACGGAGGAAAATATGCCCCGATGGCTTCTGAAGGACAAAGCTGGGAATGTTGCGGGTGACTAGAGACTTAGGGTTATGGTGGACCCTTTTAATGTCACCTTGCGGTGGTTCAGTGGATTTGATATAAGGATATGTACAGAGAGAGAGTAGAACGCCTTTATTGTATGGCTGCAAGAGAAGGTTATATGGTTGTAGTATCTGTTCTTGCTTATACAGTATGGGCACGCCCCCGCCAGACGTGAGGTCGTGAGGGAATCATCGCCAGCTATGCGCAGGCGATGATAGGGAATCATAAGAAACCCTCAGATCGTGAGCCTTACCGTATGGATGAGTATCATAGTACAAGGTACAAGAAGGATGAGGTTTTTAGATAAAGGAACCCCTTATAGAAGGAACCACTTTCTCCCCAGGACTGCGATACACTGCATAATTGGGCATCGCATGTATTTGAAGAGTGAGGTTTACTAACCAGGGTCACCTCAAACAACAAAACGCTATTGAAGAACGATTTAAGGATTCATACTAATGTACCTACAACGCGAGCATTACTACTACTATCAGTGTTTTCCTATGCAGTCTACTACATTTCACCACACTACGAAACCACTCAACAAGTAATAAGGAAGGAGGTGTATATGTAGTGATGATTGTGCTCATTATTATTTACGTCATGAATTGTAGGAACGACAAGTCAACGTCAACCTACGTCTTGTTTGCAAGTCCAATTTTGGAGTCCGATGCTCGTAAGAATGTGCGCCTAAGAAAGTGAAGTGTTAAAACACATGGAATGTTACCGAAAAGAACATAAGATCAATAACAAGAATTTCCATAAAAACATAGTGTTTTATGTCCTTCTGACGAACTTTAATTCAGTAGACGACTGATTTTATTTTTCTGGAAAAAACTCTCTGGCTCCAAATTTTGAACGCTGTTACTTAGGCAGCCTACAAACCGTTGCTTACATCAGCAACTTTCGGAGAATGCGAGTTTTTTTTTACTGAAATCAGGAAGATAGAGGAGGCCTATTCCCACGATTCCGTAGGGTTCAGCAGATATTTGAAAATCTTGAAGATCACAGAACACCTCAAAATACGTGGCTAATGAAATAATACGATTTGCCCAAGATTCGACTCCGTAAAAAAATCTTCTCAAAACAGCGTTTCAATAAACGATTCCTCTGGGAGCTCACCACAGTTGGATTAGCCCTTTTTAGAAGGATGGACTATGAGTTTTCATACGTGAAGCGCATCTCCTTCAAGATATTATGCAGTAAGACCTATATTTTCACAATATTTTCACGTTTGTAGAAGATTGAAAGGGTATGGGTTATATCATATAATTATTCATTTATGGTTTGATATTCGTTCGAAGACCCGCAGTGCACGCTGCAAATGGCAGGGGAGGGGGTAGCGCCAGTCATGAATAGACTCTGATATCATCCCTTTTTGTGCCATACTTCACATGCAAACTTGATTTCCCCCATATAAAAACCGAAAAAATTTCAAATTAAATCTTTGAAATCGTACTATAATTCAGATTGTGCTTTCAGTCATATAATGAGAGGAATAAAAAACAAGTAGCATTACATGCAAGTACATGTGGTGCTACCGGCGAGAAACTCACTTGATAAGGACCAGAAAACAGCAGATTATCAGAGCTGCTCCAAAAGTCACTATTGTATACAAGTACTGCCGTGCAATGATGAAACGGCACGTTCGTGGTTCGCACAAGGCGTTATTGCAATATCTAAAACGTGATGTTTGGGAAAGTGAACAGGTGCAATGCCGACCACGCACTCATATCTCAATAGTATTTGCTAAAGCAATTCTCCCTTCAGAAAAAGAGTAAATTTAGAGTTTAGCCTCAGTTTGAACTCAATCTGCCTCTACGAACATTTTACCTTGACGGAAGAACTGCTTACTGTATCATTAAATAATATGGCGGCGGTGATTCATTGAGAAGTAGCGCCCATACGAGGCAATGTTCATGCCCTGACCGTGTGTCTGATATCCGAAATCCCATCCAGCCAGGCAAGCCTTCCGTCCCTCAGGGGTCGATTAATGGATATTGACTCATTTGAGTAGGTAGAAACACTGATTTATACTCGGATGACCCTCACAATTCATTGTAGTAGGCCAAATCTCGTTCAAATGCCACTGCGGTTCTGAATAGAAGTAGAATACGAGCGTGTCTCCAAGAAAGGCCAAATTCGTCTCATATACTTGAAATAGTGAGAGGACTCAGAGCCATAATGTCCTATTGAAAACAAAACGAGGACACAAAATCAGGAAATAATGAAAGTTATGAAAGTTCTTTGAAAGTCTTTTTGAATACTCAGACTGCACGTTATTGGGGATGAAGCGGCTTGAGTCCTGAGCGACGGGGAGGGTGCCACCACAAGGTCGGAGGTTGGAGAAGGGGAGGTTTACCTATCAGTCCGTGAGG